AGGGATCAAAGACATGTGATACAATGGTTTTTAATCATCCTGCTATCAAGAAATTTTTGGAGTCACCATCTAGGTCATCCTCTCCTGCCAATCAGAGATCAGAGACACCATCAGCCAATCATTCAGAAAGTGATTCTTTATCTCAACATTATGATTTCTTATCTGACAAAGACAATAACAGCAATATGGATATAGAAGAAAGACTCTCAAACAACATGGAACAGAGACCAAGCCGAAATACTGGAAGGGAACCCTAGGAAATACATTAATTATATCCCTTTTGGAGATGGGGAGACTGAGTCTCGAAGAGCTTACAGTTACCTTTGTCCACAAGTATCAGAACTGAGAATTAAACTGAATTAAGCTGAGAATTAAACTGAATCAGAACTGTGCACGTCACAACTCCTAGATGCCATCCACATTGATAAGAGAGAAACCTTGAGGAATTGGCAATTCTGTGACCTTGTCCAAGGTCTTTCCATTCTGTCATGTTTGTTCTCTCTTCATCATTTTCCTTTGTGAAACTTCAGTGCTTTAATGATGCTTTAATAACTGGGGGAAACTTGACAAATAATAAATAGAATTGAAAACCATTTATTCCTCTTTGATCCTGCCAATTTCTTATTTGAGTTCCCATCTCAAGCTGCTCTGAACTTCTTGGTGTAATATTTGGCTATAGAGCCCTTATTGGATGATTTTTCTCAGCCAGGTGTTCTGTGATAGAGGAAATCTCCAGGTTGCTTTTCACATATTCAGACATCAAGGATTTGATTTATTTTTTATAAAAATCAAATTTAAAAAATTTTCTGGTTATAAATTCATACGTGTTCATCGTTGAAAATTTTAAACTACAAGAAAATAAGAAAGAATAGAAAAGTCATTCATAATGCCACCACCCAAAAATGAAAACTCTTAATGTTTGGATTTACTTGTTTCTTACCAGTATTATTTCTGGGCAAGTACTGCATGGGTTTGCTTTTTGTTTTTTTGGGGGGGGTTTTTGTGTGTGTGTGTGTGTGTGATTTTTTGTATTTTGTTTTGTTTTCTTAAGATTTTATTTTTAAGTAATATCTGCACCCAACATGGGGCTCAAACATACAACCCTGAGATCGAGAGGTCGCATGTTCTACCAACTAACCCAGCCAGGCACCTGTTTTTTTGTTGTTGTTTTTTTTGTTTTTGTTTTTTAATTAAGAATTTAGGCAATACTGGTCATAGGATTTAGAAACTTAACATCTTGTATGTAATACACATGCTCATGTTTATGTAACATATATTTGGTACTATGTACCCGGCACTTCTCTGAGTACTGTACAAAACAATTATGTGAGACAGGTACTGTTATCCTTTTTTTTTAGAGAAAGTGGCAGGGAGGGGCAGAGGGAGAGGGGGAGAGAGAGAATCTTAAGCAGGCTCTATGCTCAGTATGGAATCCAGCTCAGGGCTCAATCCCAGGACCCTGAGATCATGACCTGAGCTGAAATCGAGAGTTGGATGCTTAAGCGACTGAGCCATCCAGGTGCACCTAGGTTTTTTTTTTTTATTTTTAAGTAATCTCTACACCCAAGAGGGGGCTCAAACTCACAACCCAGAGATCAACCATCACATGCTCCACTGACTGAGTGAGCCTGTTATCCTTATTTTATAGGTGAGGAAATTGAGACAGAGAAGTTAAGTAATTACACAGAATTTCACATCTAGTAAATGGAAGAGCCAAGATTTAAACCCTGGCAGTCTATCTCCATAGTCAAACTTGAATCATTTGTCTACGGCACTTCTCATTGAAAAATTTTTAATAATACAGAAGATTGAAAAGAAAGTGAATTCCATTGACCCCTTTCTCCATTTCCATTTTCCAGAGGTAACCACATAATAGTTTCTTGTATATCCTTCCATATCCTCTTTGCATATACAGCACAGATGTGTCTGTTAAAAGCACATATATACACATGGGGTTACAGTGAACAAACATTTTGTGTTTGTGTTAAAGATACAATAAAATTACTTCTATGCTGAGAGGTGCCACAAAGCCAGAGAATTTTGTAATTAAAAAAAAAAAAAAATCTGAGTTGCTCCATTCATACCTTGAATGATTTTGTGGTTTCTGCCTATTGGAAATTGTCCAAATTGAAAGTGAAAATTGATTATGATTTCTTTCAGGACACTGCCAGTATTACTGGCTCTCATAAAACAGAGCAGCGGAATGCTGATCTCACAGGAGATGAGACTTCACGACTTTTTGTAAAGAAAACTATAGTAGTGGGCAATGTGTCCAAGTGAGTATCCAGTTGAATTCTCTCATTTTCAGTTTCCATTTATCTTAATACTCTGGCATACTTTTATTATCATAGCATTACTGTAGGAAGAGGTCTTAAGGATTTTTTTCCCTCAAACTCTTAGTTGTTTTAAAAGTAAACTAAGGTCCAGAGAGTTGAAACTGCCTCAGTGTGTCTACTAATCTTTGACATAGAATAAAATTGTGCTTGGTAAAAATTTCTGAGACATGAGCTCTTATTTTGTACAAATGGGTTTTTTTTTTTTTTTAAGAGTTTATTTTTAAGTAATCTCTATACCCAGCGTGGGGCTGGAACTCACAACCCTAAAATCAAGAGTTGCACACTCCATCGACTGAGCCAGCCAGGTACCCCATATACATATGGTGTATTTTATCAAGCATATTAGTGTGGATAAGTTTAGAAGAACTTTTGACTTTTTCTGACTTAGGTCTCTCTTTCAGGGCCTTAGCTAATTGCTAAAAAATGTTTGTTCAAATTGAAATGTTTTAGTGCTCGCTTCGGCAGCACATACACAAATTGAAATGTTTTAAATTTTTAACAAAAAGTTGCAGAGCATGTCTTGAAGACAGAATTTCTCCAAGCTGAAGGTCTAGCTCTTTAACAATATGCTCTCATGATGTCTTGTGGGAGCGCCATTATTTTGCCAAGTATCTAGAAATGGATAAAGACATAAATCTTCAAATAGCATGAGAATGTTATTTTCTCACAAAGTCTTTATTTTCCTTTCTTCTCCCTCATTAGGTATGTTTTCTCTGTGCTCTCTTATCATCTTTATCATATTATATAGTCATTTCCTGTTTTTATGTATTTTTCCCAAATCAGACTGGAATCTCTTTAGGTAGAAAGTATGTCTTGTTTTGTATCTTATAGTAGTTGGTATTCACTAAATATTTGATTATTGAATAAGTTGATATATTTATGAAAATTATAATTAGATTCAGTTATTGAAAATAAAGGATTCAGGCAGACAGTAATTATTTGGGGGGAAAAATCAGGTTGGGGGGAAATCTTCCAAGCCCCAGTTAATGGACCACAAATAACAAACAAGAAGTACATTTAAAAATCTCAGGATAATAAAAGCAAAGATTTCTAATGGTCTGTGTGATAGTATTTAAATAGAAGCATAAAATATGATTAAGCAATTAGATTTCTATTTTGTAGATTATTTTAGAATTATCAAGGGGACTCTTAGATCATGTGAAATGTTAAGAGTTGGGGTCTTAACAATAGTATGAGACCTGTCAGCTCAGAAAGTCCGAAACTGGAAATCTAGATGGACCACCAAAAGATTGGGGAGAAACCATCATTGACATTTTCAAATAATTACATTTAATTTGTAGGTGTTTGGGTTTTTTGAAGACCAGCTAGAACTGATTAATCATGGATTTTAGGTAGAGAGGGAATGATTGGCGTAAGAGTTGTAAAGTCCTTGTTTGTTCTGGAAGAGGGAAAAATTACTGATTTACTTTAGACTTGTTAAGAATGTTAGAGTATCTAAGATAATAACTAGAAGAGTAGACATAGAGATTTTTTAAAGATTTTATTTATTTGTCAGAGAGAGTGAGCACAAGCACGGGGAGTGGCAGGCAGAGCAGGCAGAGGGAGAAGTAGGCTGCCCACTGAGCAGGGAGCTTGATGCGGGACTCTGATCCCGGATCCTGGGATCATGACCTGAGCCAAAGGCAGACGCTTAACCGACTGAGCCACCCAGGCATCCCTAGACATAGAGATTTAAACTTTAAAAGTAGTAAGAGGAAAGTGGGGAAATTGAATGAAAAAAGGCCGGGCGGGGGGCGGGATCCTGATTCCAAAAGAAGGCACAACCCCAAGATCAAGAGTCTCACACTCCACTGACTCAGCAAGCCAGGTGCTCCCAGACTACATTTTGTTGTTGTTTTTGTTGTTGTTGTTGTTGTTTTGAAGATTTATTTATTTATTTGACAGAGTGCACTTGAATGCGTGGGGGAGAGGCAGAGGGAGAGAGAATCTCAAGCAGACTCGGCGCTGAGCACAGAGCCTGATGTGGGGCTCTATATCACAACCTTGAGACCATGACCCAAAACCAAGAGCTGGATGCTCAACCAACGATGCCACCCAGGCCCCCCACCCAGACTACTTTTTTGACTACTGTTAGAGTAAAGTTAATCAATGACAGTAGGAAAACTAGGAAGCTTTCTTTTGTTAAAGATTTTTTTTTTTAAGATTTTATTTATTTTTTAACAGAGAGGCAGCAAGAGAGGGAACACAAGCAGGGTGAGTGGGAGAGGGAGAAGCAGGCTTCCCGCTGAGCAGGGAGTCCGATGTGGGACTCGATTCCAGGACCCTGGGATCATGACCCGAGCTGAAGGCAGATGCTTAACGACTGAGCCACCCAGGCGTCCTCTTTTGTTAAAGATTTTATTTATTTATTTATTTATTTGAGAGAGACAGCACACAAGTTGGGGGTCGGGCAGAGGGAGAGGGAGAAGCAGACAATATGGGGCTCAATCCCAGGACCCTGAGACCATGACCAAAGCCAAAGTCAGACACTCAACTGAGCCACCCAGGCACCCCTAGAAAACTTTATGTCTAGAAATTCAAACTACTTCTAAACAACGCATAAGTCAATGAAAAATCACATTAAAATATCCAAAACTAAATAATAAAATCAAAATTTGTAGATAACACTAAAGAGATATTTAAAAGGAAATGTCTACAGTAGAAGAAAATGTAGTAGAAGAAAAGGGTAAAATTAGTGAACTAAACATCTCAATTAGACAAAATAATGCAGTGGGGGAAGCAAAGAAATTAGGGGAAAAAAGTATACACAAACCTGATGAAATTAAGGAGAAAGAAGACAAAACTATTAGAAATGAAAAAAGACATAGCTACAGATGCTGTACTATTTAGGAGATAAATAACATCTTTATGCCAATACATTTGAAAATTTAGGTGAAATGGAGAGTTCCTAGAAAAATACAACTTGGGACTTAAGAAAGGAAAAACCTTGAATAGTCTTAGAACTACTAAGTAAGTTTAATTACTGGTTTTTAAAACATTGCCGTCATAAAACCAAACCAAACTACTAGGCTTAGATTGCTTTACAGGCTGAGTGAGCACATAATTTCAGTTGTATACAAAATCTTCTGGGGAGGGGCACCTGGCTGGCTTAGTTGGTAGAGATTCTTGATCTGGGGGTCATGAGGTTGAGCCCCACATTCGGGGTGTAGAGATTACTTAAAAAACAAAAAAGTAACCAAAACCCCCAAAATCTTTTGGGGAAAAAGAGACAACACTTGTCAGTTTATTTTATGAGGGTAGCCTAACTTTTTTTTTTTTAACATTTTATTTATTTATTTGTCGGAGAGAGAGAGTACACAAGCAGGGGGAGTGGCAGGCAGAGGGAGAAGCAGACTCCCCACTGAACAAGGAGCCCGATGCGAGACTCAATCCCAGGACCCTGGGGTCATGACCTGAGCTGAAGGCAGCC